GAGAAACCCTGTCTCGAAAAACCAAAAAAAAAAAAAAAAAAAAAAGAAACTAAAGTGTTAAAATTTTCTGATTTACATTATGAGAGTCCTTTTTATTAAAAAAAAAAAAGTTCCTTTTAGGGCTCAGAGGTTAAGGCCCTTGATGCTCTTGCTGGTGGTCCTGGGTTTGGTTCCCAGAACTCACTTGGTGGCTCACCGCATCTGACTCGAGCACTGGGGTCACCGGGCACTCAGGGGTACACTGGCACACATGCAGGCAACACATGCACATGCCCTCTTCCATCTTTAACAAATGTTTACTAGTCCTTGTGTAGCTGAAATAATTTTACAGTATAACAAATCCAGGAGAGCCACTCATTAAAGATGTTTGTCTTTCTACAAAATGTGTTTTGTATGTTAAAAAGAACACACATATCCAAGGATTCTTATGGCTTGCCAGGGCAAGTGTTTAGTCTGGTCAGCTCAGGAGTTTCTGAACAGTCTTCTTAGGACACACACTTAAGACACTCGTTCTTCCTTTGCACTCCTGTCCCCCCCCGTGTGATGCTCAGCACCTCACGGCCTGAAACCATCAGGGTTTTGATGTCCACATTAGCTCGTCACTCGGCCATTATTAGTCCGTCTTGGAAGCAAGAAGTGAACAAGCCTCCTCTTGTTTTATTTTTAGGAAACTGTCATTGGAATAGTTGTGATGGATAAAATGAAATTTGTGTAAGTGATTCGACTCAGTAAACGGCCTTGATGGGGCTACTCTTCTCATATTTCAGGAATAGTTCCCTCAGTCCCAGAGTCACAGGGAACATGGTTTTTACTCAATAAGTATGATGTAGTATGGCTGTCTGTCTTCACAAACAGAGATACGTGTGTGTGGCTGTAGGTGAACATGCATGTGTGTGTGCAGGTGAACATGCATGTGTTTGTATGTGTGCAGCTAAACATGCATGTGTGTGTGTAGGTAAACATGCATGTGTTTGTATGTGTGCAGGTAAACGTGTGTGTGTGCAGGTGAACATGCATGTGTTTGTATGTGTGCAGCTAAACATGCATGTGTGTGTGTAGGTAAACATGCATGTGTTTGTATGTGTGCAGGTAAACGTGTGTGTGTGCAGGTGAACATGCATGTGTTTGTATGTGTGCAGGTAAACGTGTGTGTGCAGGTGAACATGCACGCATGTGTCGTGTGTCCACATATATGTGGAGGCCAGAGATCAGTTGATCTTGTGCATTTGCCCTCAGGCACTGTCTAACTTGTGTTTTCAGTCAGGGTCTCTCATCAGCCTGGAACTTGCCAAGACTGGGCTAATTAGTGTGCCCCAGGGATTCTGGCCTCTGTTCCCCAGGGCCAGGATTACAGGTTGCAACATGCCAGTTTCTTATGAGTACTGTGGATCAAACCCAGATCCTTGTTCTCACATGCAAGCACTTTACTAACTGAGCCATCCCCCAGACCTAAAATAGGTTATTTTTATTAGTACATAATAATCCATAATTATAATGTACCCTGTATCAATTTAAAAAATGTACTCCAATATTGTTTTCAAAATACTATAAGGTTGTATCCAAACCTTTATTAAACTATACAAATTAAGAGTTTGAAAGGGTCTGTGAGCGCCAGCAGGGGACAGCACTTCCTGCCAAGCCTCATGACCTCAGCTGGTCTCTAGAATCCACATGGGAGGAGACCACCAACTCCTGAAAGCGTCTTCTGATGCCCTCACTCAAGCCGTGGCACACACACACCCCAACACAACAAATAAAACAGTCCTGGACATGGTCCCCAGCACCACATAAAACTGAGTGTGATTGCATCCGCAATCCTAGCACTGGGGAGGCAGAAGGTTCAAGAGTTCCAGGCTGGGTCTGGAGCGAGGACTCAGGGGATGGAAGTTTTGTAACTTCGAGTTGTCTACCTTCCTGCTTGATATTGCTCATAGATACTAATTTTCTTGGGCTAAAAAAACAGCAGCTAATTTGGGCATTGGACGTAGCTCATTGATAAGCTACTTGCTTAGGATGGGTGAGATCGTGAGTTCAATGCCCAACAATAAGACCAAAAAAAGGGTATCAGATAATTTCATATTGCCATTTGCATAGAAAAATTGTGTATCTGCAATTCAGCATTTAAACTAATACCAACATGTAGTAAGAGCAACTAGATGATGGCGTGAAATTGTGTTCTTTTTTTATTAAAACACTGAGTTTATTTCACGTGTATACTCGAAGTAGCCCCAGGAAATGCCTGAAACCAACCAGATTTTCTAGACCCCTCCCTAGCAGAGAAAAGAATAAAAACTTGGAGTTTTTCTCAGACTGAGTAGACCCAAGCTGCCAAGACTGACCAGCCCCGCTACCTGGAAGAAGCAGAGGTTTAGACAATCAGAGGCACCTGGAAAGGACACTCTACAACCTGTCGAGCTGCCCGCAGGCTGTGCAGTGTGCCCCAGGTTCCCAGCTTTTGTGAGCTGTCACGTGTGCTGGGGTGGGCCTTGGTGATACAGCTGTTTTTGAGTCATTTCAGCTCCAGTAAGTGACCCTTAACCCGTATTCCTGTAAGTAACCCCCATAAAACTCGTGGTTCACCAAGTTGGACTTTGTGGAGTCTGTATTTGGTCTGTTAAGGGATCCTGGCTGGGATTAGTAGATGTGAGTGTAGAGTCCTCCCAGGAAAAGTTTCATGACACAACGTAAGGTTATAACAACATAACGCATAGCATCATGCCTTTAATCCCAGTGCTTGGAAAACAGAGTCAGGCAGAATTTTCATATTTTATGGTCATCAGCAGTGACTACCAATGTAGTGTAAGGAAAAAATATTTCTCCTGAAGTTGTTACCTTCAGGGTTTTCTTTTTACAGAAGTCGTTTCTCTCCTTCGTTGTTCAGTCCTGGGGATTGAACTCAGGTCATCAGGCTTGGCCACACTAAGCTGTCTTTCTGGCCCTGCATTCAGTGGTTTTCATTAGCGTTTTTGTTTAGTATCTATACATTGGAATTCAGAGACCATTAGGTAGGCGTCCTCTTTTTCAATGCTATTTCAGTACAGTACAGTGTACTTCTGGGATCTAAATAAATGGGCTAAATGCATCTGTCTCCAAGGCAACAGGGAGAAATAGTCTGATAACAGTTCTAAAAAAAATTTAAAAATTTAGAGCTGGTCATGGTGGCAAATGCC